CCCATAGGATTTTTCCTCGGCATGATCACCGTTATAAAATTAGGCTACCCTTACGTCGCACTAAGCATTTTTCAGAGTCGCCCTTGATCTTGGCTATTCATGAATGGAATGACCTCCCTGAAAGTGTGGTTGATATCTCAGACTGTGCACAGTTTAGGAGTGTGTGTGAAGAATTATTTAAGTCAGTTTAATTTTATACGCTTTCTGGTGTGTAGCTGTTGTGTATATAGTATGCTGTGTATGTGTGCGCGATCTGTCGCGTGCTGTTTTCAATGTTAGTGTTTTCTTGTTTTTGCAGCGATCTTTTTCTTTTGTCTCTCCCCCCCTCATGTAATGCCTCCGGGCGCTTTGAGGGAACAATAAATGAAATGAAATGAAATGCGTCCAATCACTGAAAACAATGCAGAAGAAAAAAAAAACCCAATAAATTTGAAGTAGAGCTTTATTAAACACTTATTTTATAAAGCCCCACCAGAGTAGAACAAAGCAGACTGATTATTTTAGTTAGTGAAAGAGTTTTATTTGGTTTTAGTGGTGATGTTCCTTAGGGTCTAGCCTTGTCCGTCCGGCGTCCGTGCCCACATCGATTGCACTGCCTCCAGGATCGACCCACTTTAAAAAAAAAAAAAAAAAAAAAACGTACGCTTGCATGGGGGTTCGAACTCAGGACCGCTTGCTTACGCTACACTCAAATTTTTTTTCGTCATTTTGCACAAAACACGCAATACACACAAAACACTCACAAGAAACTGGGGCTAAAGTGCCACGTGCCCTCATTGGGGGCACGTGGCGCTTAATAGGCCTTCATACTTATTAAGCCATCTAACAGGCCGACCCACTCGGGCGGGGTCTCACTCCTTTCTAAAATACTCTTGACCTGCAAAACAACTTCAATAAAAAACAAACGCGCTGACTTTGGACGGACTACGGCATGCCGCACCGCCATACGGGAACTCCACAAACCGTACAATCCAAGGGCCATAAACAGATCGTAAGCCACAGTTTCACCTTTCTCCACGGGAAGAAAACGAATGGTGTATTCATCAATGCACATATCTTTTTTTCAGCGTCCGTTGTAAGACATCCCAAAAGAAGACCGCTTCCCAGCAATGCAGGAACGCGTGCTCAGTAGTCTCAGGCTGTCGACACAACAAACAATTGACACCCCAAGGAACGTACATGCCCCGCTCCTGAAGCCATACCTTCACTGGCAAGGTGGCAGTATGTGAACGGAAGAAAAACGTTTTTACCCGCCGGCGGCTCACACATTTTCTTCACACGGGCCAGGACATCCTGTCCAGGACCTGCCACATACGGCAATCGGTAAAGTGGCACCGGAAAAAGTACGTCAAGAAAGTCGCGAGTCAATCTTTTGCGCGTTACACTCGACAAATAGTCCATTGAAAATCTGACTACCAAAAATTGAAAGGAGTCTACAACTTCTTTTATAAGCCCATCCATTTTTGCGGGCGGACCCACCTCTGAAGACACAAGGAAGGACATCATAAATTGAGCTAAGCGTGTTTGGATCATAACCTGCAACAGTGGATTCTGTTGATCGCGTAAGAAAAGAAAACGAGAAACAGGGCTTTCAAACAAAGAAATGGGCGAGCCCTACCCCTCCTTTGGAGACACGGCGAAAAAGAGTGTCTCGGCACATCCGGTTCGCTCTCCGACAACCAAACAAAGAGCGCGAAGACTCGACGCATCTTCTTGATGCAGCTTCGCGTACACCATAAGACTTGGAGGGCATACCATAGCTTGGCAGTTAAAAACACATTACATACGGTTACACGAGCGAAAATAGACAAATTGCGTTTGCGCTAAATGGATGTGCTTTTCCTAAGTTTCTGTACTACACACTCCCAGCAGGGTGTTGTGCTTTTCATGTGCTGCAACCGGGCCCCGAGGTATTTGCACGGGGTAGTGTCTCATCGTATCCCTTCGTACACTTCTGGTGTTGTAGCCCACGCCCCATGCCATAAACCAGGGGTGGCCAGGCTGACGCGGCCTAAGAGCCGAAAACAAAACCACGCGACTCCCAAGAGCCGCAGGGGGGGGGGGGGGGGGGGGCTTAAACTTTTTTCTACAGCAATAAACGAAACTCTGACTACTTTAAACCTATCCGAGTCAAAAGCTGTCCAACTGCACCTAAGGTAGCAGTAGCACAAGACTACCAAACCGCAACTTGCTTTCGATTTAAAACGCGTTCCATTTCTCCTTTTCGGGAAGTGCTGACGTGACCGGGAGGGAGGCGGAAAGGGGGGGGGGGGGGGGGGGGGAGTGGAAGGGGAGGGGGCCGCGAGCCGCACTTTAACACGCGAAGAGCCGCATGAGGCTCGCGAGCCGCATCTTGGCCACCCATAGACCAACACATTTGTCTAGATTAACCGCAGCCCCTGTTGCGGCGCAGAAAGACATGCAAAGTCTTAGAGCTTCTACGACACTCTTTTTGTCGGCACAAAACAGCGCGATATCGTCCGCGTAAGACAAAACTTTTGTTTCTACAGAAACCATTAAAAAACCTCTCACATTCTTGCTTTGAATTATGCTTAAACATAAGGGCTCCAAATACAAAGCGAACAACAACGGGGACAAGGGACAACCCTGCCTCACAGAGGCCGATACGGGTATTTTCGATGTTAAAGAATGATTCAGTACTAACTTGGTGGTGCACCCACTGTACGCCTTACAGATCCCGTCAGAAATAATATTACCTACATTTACCCGCTTTAAAACAGCCCAAAGCACATCATGCTACACGCGGTCGAATGTTTTCTGCAAATCGATTTGGATTATGGCTACTTGGCCTGCTTCGTTTTCGACAGATTCTAAAATAGTACTTGCAATATGAATGTTTGTTTGAATGGATCGTCCCCGGATCCCACAGGTTTGGTGTTCACCAACTAGCTCTCTGACAACATGCTGCAATCTGCTGGTCGAAACTCGCGCAAATATTTTATAATCACCGTTGCACAAAGTGATTGGTCGACATTCGGTGACGCATCTCGCCTGTATCGTGTCAGGCGTCTTTGGGATGAGAACGGTGTGCGTTTGTAAAATGGAAGGCGGTAACGCATTGAAAGAGTAAGCCTCGCGAACCACTTCTAAAATGAAAGAGGACAACGGATCCTTGAATGTTTTATAAAACTCTCCACTAGCCGCTCATTCACACTCGAAGCGGATCCGCGTTCGCAAAGCGGTTACAAACGCGGTTGTATAAAGATCCAGTACAATTGCACGCGCAGTCGTTGACATCAAGGTCGCGTGCAATTGCACTGGATCTTTATAAAACCGCGCTCGCCACCGATTTGCGAACGCGGATCTTGCTTCCAGCGTGAATGAGCGGTAAGGCCGTCAGGCCCCGGCGTCTTGTGGGACGACAAACCGTGTACGGCGCGCTCAATCTCTTCGAGCGTCACCGGCTCTTCCAACCACTCTTTTTTTGTCGTCAGCGAGCCTAGGGATTCTTTCCAACAACGTTTCGAGGTCAGCTTTCCTTAAAGACTTATTTACGCCGCCAAATAGCTCCGAGTAATAACCCACAAAAACGTGTTCAATAAAATCCTTATCGCTGCTCGTAACGCCTTCATGATAAATAGCGAGAATCTTTTTTGTTGTCGCGTATTTCTTTTTATCGGCCAAAGCCCTCCGCGTGAGCTGTTCGCCTAACAAAATCTTCTCTGCCCGCGCTCGCACAACTGCTCCCCGGTAGCGCTGTTGGTGAAAGCCATCTAGTTTCGTTCTAACTTCCTTTATTTCCTCCCCCATCGTGGCCGAGTTAGCACTTTCAATGCTGAAAAGTTCGCGCCAATACTTCTGTAATTCGTTCTCCTCGCGGCGCGCCTCGCGCTTTAATTGAGACGACCTTTCGATTGCGGCTTGCTTTGCTTCTTTAAAATATTCCCACTTTTCGAGAAAACAGCTCTCTTGCATCGCGATTATTTTTTTTTAATATTTCTAAAACGGCCTTGGCAAAATCATTGTTTTTCAGCAAAGTGTTGTTTATTTTCCAGAGCTGCCAATTAAATTTCTTTCTGCGCGGTTCCTTTTTTCCCAGCGTCACGCTCACTAGGCAGTGATCGGTATAAAAAAGCGGTGTCTAGAAATAATCTGTCGTACTGCTGATAGCTACGGTGGAGACGTAAATTCGGTATAATCGCGAATGGGACGCCCCTTGAAAATATGTAAACTGGAGCCTGTTTCGTCTCGCCCTGGGGCGCGCTACATCTTCCAGGAAATGCTGTTCCAACGCTTCGGTTAGCACCTCCGCGCTGTTATCGCGATTTTTTCTGGGCGGTACTCTGTCTTTCGGGCTGCAGACGCAATTAAAGTTCCCTATTACTACGAAAACCTTGTCGCACTGTAAACATGTTAAAAAAAAACAAAAAACTTTTCTTTCGCTAGCCCTGTTGGGCGCGTACACGCATATCACCCGCCAGTCACGGTTAAACAAAAAGAAATCACTCGAAATGAAGCGACCACACTCATCCACAACAACGGTCAAGCCTCGCAGTGGCACTGACTTTTTAAAACAGGAAACACCCCGCCGACACTCCAACCGCATGACTCACACAAATTTCGTAGCGACTAAGAAAGGGTCTCAGCGCTTGTTCTGTGTCGCGGTCAGATGACATTTTTGTTTCCTGTATCGCGAAAAAATCTATTTCCTCCTCAGCCAGTAGCCGTTGGAGCTGATATTGTTTTTTCTGCGAGTTGAGGCCGCGAACTTTTAGTGTCGCGAAATGAATCGAGTCGCGAAGATCGATCGGGGTTGGGATCGAAATCCGTAGTTCCCCCTTGCTTAAATAAAAACCCTCCAACAGATGTTAATAAAAGGCAGTATTACACGAACCGAACCTTCCTTGAACAGACACTCACTGCCAGTTCTTTCTGCGGCGGTCTTCAGTTGGTATGCGATGCTTTGCCTGAACGCGAGTTCGCTTGGCAAAAGTCCCGGCCTCCGGATGCGTTGCGGTCCATCCTGCTGCGGCGTCTTCCGGGGTTGACGTTGGGTCTCGCAGTCGCTTGATTACTTGGCCCATCTCAACGTCCGCGTCTGGCGCTGAAGTCGAGGGGTCGCGACTAAGAGTACCGTCGTCACTTCTCCTCGGGGCAATTCCGTCGCTTTGGCTGTGGTCTTGCTCTTGAGCATATGGCTCCTCCGTCGTCGCGCCTGTCGCCTTCGCGCCTTGCGGCACAGGCTCGGAGCTGGTTCTTCCAGCCGGTGCGGCCAGATGATCGAAGTCTGCTGGGGTGACCGACCCCCCGCCGTCGGACGGCGAAAGTACGGTCGGCCCAGAAGCACCGACCGCTTCCTCCGGTTCGGCGTCGTTCATCACGAAGTCTAACTGGTCGTCCACCTTGCGGTCGCGGGGCATCGACGAGTAGGTCTTGACACAGTAGTCGGCCTTATGGCCAAAGCGATGACAGTCGGAGCATCGGGGGACACGGCAGTCCCGGTTGATGTGGCCCGTACGACGGCAGCGCAGGCAAAGCGGAGCGCGTCCTGGCACAACAGCACGCACCTTACACCGCTCCAGGCGAATTTCGTGGGGGAGGCTGTCAAAAGTGTAGCCTTCCTTGAGGGTCAGACACACACCTCTGGTGTTGGATTCGACAGCTTCGAACCCCTTCTCCCGGAAGAGCTCCGTGGTGATCTCGGAGACCTTCCCATAGCGCTCCAGCTCTTTCTTTACCTGGCCGTTGGGCACGTCATACGGGACCCAGTGAAGTTTAACCTTCACTGCCATGTTCGCCGTGTCGATGACAAGGCACCCCCCCCCCCCCCCCCCCCCCCCCCCCCGCCCTTGATGGTCAGCTTCTTGGCGTCGACCAGTCGTTGCTTCGCTGTGAGGGAGTGAATCCTCAAACTCCAGACATGGTTCATCTGATGAGGGCCGGCAGAAGCCAGGTCCTTCATTACGTCGAGCCTTTCTAGTTCTTCTGGAAAGTCGTGTAATCGGTACGGACGGCCTTTCACGTTGCAGTTAAGAAACACAGTATTCGTTACAAAGCATCCGGTGGGCAGCTGGGGAAGGATAACCTGATAATTTTCGGTTGCAGCATTAACAGTATAGTACCACGGCCTGACGCGGCCGTTTTCACCGCTACGATGGAGCTCATGATAACACGTCCGTCTCGTTCGAGCGCCGGAAGTGGAATACTACGCTACACTCCAACGTTGCATGTAGCCGCTCAACGTCCATACAGGAGAGGGCGCTGCGGTCAAATGCGTGTACAATCGCCTTAAACTTCGCATGCATTGGCTCAACGTTTATAGACGAGAGGGCGGTGCGGTCAAATGCTCAACTATGTAAATAATCACGATCCATACCACACATTCTCTTTCTGACATGGACCGTTGACTTAAGCGGTGAAGATGCGTTCCCACGGATTCTAGGGGATTCAAGCTGATCCGCTAGAAGAACCACTGGCTTTGCATTTCACCGACCATAAAGCAGTAAAAATGAAGTCGAAACGCAACCCGGAACTCAGCACTACTTATGAGCAATAAAAAAATTCAGCACCATCAGCACTACCTATGAACAATAAAATCAGTATCATCAGCACTACCAGAGCTTCGCCCCAATCAACATGATTCAGCACGTGGAGATGCGGCCTTTTTGTTATTTTGAGTTACCATTTTCTTCCAGTCGAAAATTACTTTTCTAGTGTTAATTTGTTTCCTACGCGTACTTATTTACTTCCTATTTGATCTTACGTAACACAAAGGAAGTGGAAGGTGGTTTGGTGAAGAGTATTTTAATTACACCCAATATTATCTTGTACTATCTCGATTCAGTCTTGGGTAGTATCGCGATATTGAAACTCGTTATTTTTTTTTTAAATTTTAACTGTAACTCGATACATTTTTCGAAGTAACTAACCATAACTTAAACACTTTTCTAAAAAGTAACTAAAAGTGTAGGCAAAGATACAAACGCTTTTCGTGAAAAATATAACCTATTTTGTGAACACTTCTGCGGGTTCAACCATGTGCGGAGGTTTGGCCCCACTAGTGTCACTTGGCCCAACATTATACGTCGCAAAATAAAGCAAGAACTCACAACGTTTTTCGGCGCACGTTTTTCTACACTGTTGGAAAAACTCCTGTCAAAGTATGGGACACATACATGCTAACCTTGTTGCCACAACATGTACTGTATTACCGGACTACAGAACATGTTCCATACTTCTTTAGTACGGGACATGTTGTTGTTGTATGAGCAGCCACAATAAGTTCCATACGCCATCATCACGGAACAAGTAGTGTACGCTACAAGAAATGTACCATCGTGGCACACAGCAGCACATGTTCGGTTGCAAGTCATGCTAGAACATGTACCATTTTTACGAAGTGCATCACATGTTCCATTGCGTCCAAAATGACACAGGTTACATTTCTTGTACTTACGGAAAAATTTCAGTCTTCTTTGTGATAGTACTCGCCCCATTTTATGCTACTACCGCTATTCACGAGTACAGCCGGGCTTTGTATGTCACATGCCAAGGTTCTCCTTGAAAAAGTTGATATGTGACATGCAAAACAGGGATGTCCTGACAGTTTGCAGGCGCAACTTGATGCAAGTCTTTGCAACATAAAATTACCTGCAATGCGGAAATGTTCCCCAAACTTGTATGGAAAATTTGAACTGTCGTATCTAATGCGAGCACTATCCTGAAAACAAAACAATGAATCTGTGACATATATACTTAATATAACAGCCAGGAATGCTATGAGAAAGTGCTCGCATGCTACGTCAAGTTTAGAGAACATTTTACATGTAGGAATGGGGATAAAGGCATATAAACGTTTGTAAACATCCTTATGAAACTAAGTTCACGCTTGGTCCTTTTGGTTCCAAACCATAGCAACGGACCCATTGCGAAGAAGTCTGAACAGTTTGCTGCTTCAAAAATATTTACATTTATTTTTCTTTTAAATGACTAGAACACATACACAATACAAAAAAAAAAAAAACATTTCATGCCGCAAATATATTTGGGGCAGCTCAGCCATCAAAAAAATATCAAAGTGAGCAGGCTACTAAAAAAAAATGTCACAAAAAATTATGCTGACATGCTACACCTCGAAAAGAACCATCTTGGCCTATGACAACAAATAGTAATATTAACAAGAGAAAAAAAATAATCTAAACAAGCACCGAAGTTTCTTTTCACTTCTTTCGGAACTTCGAGAACTCTTGGAGGGCTCCCTGCACCTTCACACGCACCAGAGCAACTTTTCTTCAAGACTGCCGGGGCCCCTCCTGTGGGTTCATTGCCACAAGTTGCCTGAAAGAAAGATCACTTAAATAATGGGCAAGATTATTTAGAGGAAGATGTCTAATAGAAGCTAAGGAGTTCCTGACTTCTTCTTTAACTTATATATCGGTTAGTAATCCGATCTGAACGAATTCTAAATCTTGTCTATAATATCTTTTCAAGCCGAGACAAACGCCCTTAACCTGGACAGTCCGTGCACACGCCATGAGCCTCCAAGTCTGATACTTGCATCAAGACAAATTTTGATTGTACAAAAAAAAAAGTTTCACCCCACTGGCATCAGTTATCAGTAATAACTGGGCACATTTCGGAACTTGCGTGAGCACACAACGCTAAGGCATTCTACAACGCGAGAGGGAGGCTACAATGGAAGACAAACACATCCATCTCAATTAAGACATATGTCTTCCTAGCCTCCAACCCGGGTTGTAGAATGTCACATTAACTAGCTCGCCTGCCTAGTAACGTTGTACACAACAATACTTCGGTTAATAAAGGAATTCAGAGTACCGGTCAATGCAATATCACAAAAAAGCTTGCCTGAAGTGCTTAAGCAGAATATTGTGGTTAATATTAAAACACTGAACATTCATGTCTTTTGGTTCATATTACTTATTCTAACTGATGAGCATAGCACGGTCACAGGTATATTTATGTGCCCCTGCAGAACAAGGGCCCATGCATTTGCAGCCGAGTGATACTAAGGCGGGTTAAAGTGTAAGTTGCACGTACCGTAAAATGCATAAGTTCTAGTATTGGTTCTATATGACAATACATCTGAATACCAGATTCATATTGACTCTTTCATTATATTGCAACACATTAATATGACTTAAAAAGAAACGGTCCTCCCCAGCAGGTCACGCAGTTACTGCAGCATATCCAATTAATGTGAGTAACGAATTGTAAATCGAATTGCGAATTGCCAAGCGAATTGTAAATAAGGGTGTCTAGAAAGCAGCACATTAACATTAGACCTTTGCCTTTCTTAGTGTAAGGTTTCAACAAAAACATGGTTCAACATGTTCCAGGTTGCTGTTGAAGGTGCCAAACAAACACAAACTTTAAGGTTAATATTCGACTCCACAAAACATATTTTTTTCCAAATTGCTGTCGAAAGTTAGACACTTTTCTTGATGTAATTGGCAATGCCTCAGTGAATGAAACCCTTAATATTTACATGGGAATACTGCAATACGTTCGAGGAATCGTTATGCGCCTGCTATGCTGTTTTTTTTACAGGTTTGTTTAAAGCCATGAAAGCTACACTTATGCGGTTTGTGCGAGTGAGTTAGACGCCCAGGAGGACATTACCGGGGTGGCTAATCTTCGCGATAAGTCGGCTAATTAATTGAAATTCGTTAATTATATTTTAATTAGTGGAAGTAGTCGTATGGTTCCAATTAGATATATGCTGAGCGCCGTTCAAATCCCCTAGATCAGTAATTTTTAGAAAGACTTTGAGCGCGTGAAAAGCGCAGCAGTGCGCTGAAGTTAGTACTCGTGGAGCAGGTACAAGGCTGGGGCTAGCTAAGAGACGGAAAAATCGCGCGGGCGCCTTACCGCAACCGCTAGCCTCGTGCTCCGCAAGTCGTAACTTTATTGTACTACTACACTTCTCTCGCGCTGAAAGTCTTTCTGAAAATGACTCATTTAATGGTTTTCGATAACACTCAGCAAGTTTTTAATTGGACAAATATGTCTATTTTCTCTAATTTAAAAGTTAACAAGTTTTAATTAATTAGCCGACATATCGCAAAGATTAGTTACCCACACAATGTCCCCCTGGGCGTGTAACTCCCTCGCACATACCGCATAAGTGTAGCTTTCATGGCTTTCTTTAAACAAATCTGTGAGAATAAAAAAAAATCCTGTATATGTACAGTACTCAGCAAAGGAACACGCGACTGTATTACCTCTTAAGATTACATCAATCTGTGACGTAGCGCACAAAATTGTTGCATTAAGCGCCATGTTATAGTTGTCGTTCGGCCACCGACAAGTTAGCACTTTTATGAGGTAATGAACAGTTTGTGTGTTTCTACAAGTTTGGGAAACATTGGACATCGCCAAAGGAAAACAGTATTTGAACATTTTACTTGTACCCTATACTGTAAACGACTTATTTTTCGCGGGCTCCATATTTCGCGATTGAGGTAAAAGTTGAAGATTTGGAATAATTCGCGGGTTCTAATTATCGCGATGCGGCGGGATCTCAATATAGATTCCAATGTGTTTACATTTTACCAAAATCGTTCGCGGGACCTGTTTTTTTTTTTTTTTTTTTTTTAATTGTAGGCGGTTCGGGAAAATTAATATTTTGCGAAAAATTAGTCGTCTACAA